ACTGGAACGCATGGTCACCCAGTCGGGGGGGGGGGGCATAGTGCTGCATTCACAATGATGCGTTTCGAAAATCCATTGTTACTCCGTAACTATTGAAAATCGACCACAAGTTTATAAGGAAATTTTGCAGGAAATAACCCTAGGAATACGTACCATAAGCCGGGGTAAAACTTCGTGAATCACCCTGTATAGAGAACTGACATTTCTCGTCTCCAAATTCCATTTGCACTCAGAACTCAGGTATAAATGTTACAGTACTACAGTGTAAAAGTCTGCCTATATATATATATTCTGCCGCTTATTTCACGTCATTATTAGTACATATAATACTGGCGTGTGATTCCTATGTAACGTGACGAATAACTTCACGAAGATCTCGGATTCAGCGAATATTTATTGAACACACTCTTCTACACACGCAAGTACTGTACAATTAGTATCAGTTTTACTGCTTCGGGGAATGCTAGACTCCAACTGGCTCCGGTGACTGCTGCATCTCATGCGACTGCTGTCTGGTATATTCAACCAGTGTCGATCGCGACTCTTCGGAGCTGGACTATTATAGCCTGGTTTCGGACGAGATAGAACGCACCATCGCCCAGGGTTCGATTTCACGTGTTCTATGCTCGTTTTCGCTGTTTCAATAAATCGTTGCCACGGTTGTTCCTAGGCAACGGTCTGTTGGTATTCGATTTGTCGCTGTCCGATCTCAACAATTTCCACTGTTTTCGTTGCTCAGCGATGGACAACATATAACACGTTACATTGCTCCCTTCTAAAGGTTGTTCGTCCAGAACAGCCTAACGGTACTTCCCCTTCTTCAATGGTGCTCATCCCGAGCAGCTCGGTGGTAGGGTACGAGCCGGTCCAGCTGTACTACCAGTCACTCCATGTTCTGGTAATCATTCATTCTCCATTCAAGGCGGGGAGGCCGGTGCTTCTACATTACCGGTTTCTCCACTATGCGCTATTCCAAAAATTTCTTTCGTTTTGGAGGGGGTCGACCCCTCCACAAGGTCCAATTCTTGATATTTTGTAATGGGACAGGCGATAAGGTAATTCGCTTCACGGTCTCATGTCCGGTCGTCTTTCTATAGGTCTCGATCCTTGTTCCTCCGTTACATTGCTGTTGCGCCCGTTGTCTCTTCTCGAGCGTCCATCCTTTCGAGGTTCCTCGTACCACACTGTCCCTGGCACGAACTTTCCCGACGGCGTTTTCCTTGCACCGTGCCACTCCTGCACAGTGGGTCGTCCTAGTTCTAGCAGCGACCAGTTCTCTCCGTGGGTGACACTTTTCCTAGGTAATGTACGTCTTTACGATGTCCCTCTTGCGTCGTGACGCTGTTACACGACGGGACATCTTCCGAGCCACTTTCGCACTGTGTGTCGTCCCTCTGCGGGCGACGGCCAGTCTCTTCTGGGACCCACACTTTTCCCGTGTCATATCCTTCGGTTTCTGGCGGCGTCCTGCAGCCAGATTTCGATCCCTAGGCCGTTTCCTTGGTCCTCCGACCGGCATCATTATGGCGTCTTCTACGGGGACCTCGTCTTGTTGGGCCACCTCAGGTTTTCTGCTCACTGAGGTCGGCTTCTTCTCTTCCAGACGTGCCTCCATCTCTTGGCAGGACATCGTCTTTACGTCTTTTCCGGTTTTGATTTCGGCCGCCATCACCTTGTGGCTGGCGTCCATCTTTTTATCCCGCATTGCGGCCATCTCTTCTCGCCAAGTTCTCGTACCGGCATCCATCTTTTCTAGCCAGGCTTTTCTATCGGCGTCCATTTTTGCCTTGTGGGCATCAATCCTGGCTCTCATTTGTTCCTGAGCTATATACCTCGGTACTCAAAATCCTCACGGTGTCATAATTAAGCTTTACCATTAATCCTGCACCTTCTGGAACTACTACTGCTAACGCGCTTAAGCGTGTGAAGGTGTGAAGCTTTTCAAAGGGCCTGTATCGGTAATAGGTTAAATGAAGTCAGAGCAAATTATGTAAGCAAAATAGCAGAAAACTCAGTTGGAAAACATGAGTAAGCCAGCTTCATTGAAAGAGCCTACATATATTCAGTGTGCTAACTACATGCCAATGCTTTGTAATTCGTACATGCTTTCAATCTTTGTTGTCGCCTCATTCAAGAAACAACAGAACATGGAATCTGTTCAGGAAACAGAAGAGAATGCTGCAGCTGGTTCAACCAGCCTGAGGACAGCATAACCGCAAAGCAAAGGTTACATACGGAACACGGCTAGCTAGTGGGGCATACCCGGCTAGGATAACGCCGCTCACAATTCCGCGCATAACTACTATTATTACAAGCCAGGAGCCCGTGGTACTATAGCACATGCCGGGACACTGCAGCGCAGTTCAATATAACTCTGACTTGGCAACGTGCAGCCACTATTTTGGAAGGGGGGGGAACGAAGAGAAAGGAGAAGAAGTTGACAGACGACAATTTATAACTTAAAGAATTATAAGCCCGTATCAGAGCATTTGTTACAGCGAATGCACATTTCGAGGTAAGACGACAGATTGCTAAGTGGCAATGGGCAAACTGCTGCTTACATGAATACTCGTAGAAACTCAGTACAGAAGAAAGGGGTGCGCTACGTTAATCACAAATTAGTGAATCCTGTACACATGAGAGCAGTCTCTGCACATTCATAAAAGTGCTCGACATTTCAATTCTTTTCTGCATTCACATAGTGTCTACAGCCGTACAGTTTAGGCACGAACACCGTGATGCGATATGCAAAATGATGGCTCCTAATTTTGGCGACTGTGCTCTCCAATTTGCAAGAATGAATCGATTATTTTCCTGCAGGTATGAACTCTCACTATGGACCTACACAACAACACACTAAGTTTTTGTGCCCTTTCTGTTCAAAAACTGGAAAAACTGTTTTAAATACATGTAATACTTATGGTTCCCAATCTTGCTTTACCTGCAGAAGAATTTGTTACAGTTTTGGAAATGGGGACATCGCAGGGTCTGGGGGGAGGGGTGGTGCACCCGTGTGTATGATGGGATGGGAATGCGGGGTCCTCTCCAGGGAAAATTCTGAAGAAGGGAGATACTTATCAAGCCATCTGATGACATAAAACGTGAGGAGGAATACTCAGGACGAATCCATATATCACGGGAATGAAAAGCTCAGCAGTAACTAAACACGACGTAGGCCTAAAATAAGGCGCGGCACATCTCAGGTGTTCGCGGGGAAACACTGGGCTACAGACATCTTTACACAAAACTAGGCCTACAATAAGGCGCGGCACATCTCAGCTGTTCGTGGGGGAAACACTGGGCTACAGACATCGTTACACAAAACTACTGCTCGACGAAACACCTTTTAGAATTAATAAGATAATGGCACGCAGACCCCAAAAAATAATAGCTCTATATATTATTTAGAAACTTTGTAGGCCCGAGTCACGGCATAAAATTACAGACCTCAATATAGCAGAAGTTATGTCCCACTTGCACTTCTTGCTTATTCAAACTAAAACTGAAATCTGGGACACGCGCAGGCTTTTTTACATTTCCTCCGAATGCGGGAATGACTAATTCCCTTCCGCCTTCATGGAAACACAAATATCGTTCCGCGGTGTCAGTCCACTGGTTGAGAATCACGCTTCTGCAGAAAGTAGTATCATACATTTAAATAAATGAAGGTACGAAGAGGCTGTAAGAGAAGTTCAACACCTTGTAAGGTTCTAGCGAGATACATAATAGTTTGGCTCATAAGAATTGGTCCTACCTTTTTCTCCAGATTGGGCCCGTTCTCCATGGCGTACATAATGGCTTCCGAGATCCTGGTGTCCAGAGAACGCACAACTTCCTCCACGTTCAGCACAATTGCAGGGGTTGAGTCATGACCCTTGACCGCAACCACCAGTCTCTCAATGGCTTCAACAAATCCATTCCAAGGTAAATCCAACTCAGACGCATGCTGAGTAAGACACCCCCTCAACACGTTGAGGCAATACCCAGAGCAGGCTTTCAACCCTGCACGCGTTAATCCTTGACACGTCGGACAATAGGACATCCTCAGTAGCGCCGTGTGACACTCACTCCACTGCGCACCGTTCACACCGCTACTACCGTCCACTGAGTCAGTCATCAACAGGGTGTCCGTACTGTTTAGAACCTCAGCACCCAGGTTCAGAGCTTGCAGTAAAACCCTAGTGGCTTCCATCGTCTTGGCAACTCCATGCGCCAGTTGCCTTGGTATATCACCGAAAGGTTGGACCTCCGATATAGTTGCTCTTAGACACGATTTGTAATCACTTGAAAAATCACGCAGGTGTGGGTTAACAGCATGGTGATACACCAAAGGAAACAGACTGGCGAAAAATGTAGTTACAGACTCTTCAAGATTTAAATCTGCCGTGACAAGAGTTACAGAGGGCATAACTGTGGCTGTAGAAGATGCTGCGTCTTTGTTTAGATCCTTATCGTGATGGTTTTCTTTCTCCGCGTTCAGGTAACCAAGGAGATCGGAATACAGCGATGAGATTGGTTCTCTTGCAAGTATGGCCATACGTTGGTATACCTGACTGAACAGCACTAGTGTTTTGTTCTCCGATTGTCTTGCTAGCTCTGTCACGTGATCTGAAACAAACAAACAAAATCACTATAAATACTATGTCATAAAATTAGCTTATAAGAAAAAGTAAAAAGTAAAGCTATCCCTGTAACAGGCCATGAAGGCCCATAGGGTTGTGGGACGTTGAGGGTCCCACATTATCTAGACAATCGGCTCAAAGATGGCGGTTGTCAGCCTTACGTGTCAGCCGCGCTTTACTACCCAGGAAAATTATTTAATTAATTCCTGGTACTCATTTCTGTTAGAGGCTGAGTCGACTCCAGGGTCATAGTACGGTTGAAAGGATTAGGTCAGTTGAAAAAAATCCAGTGATCTCATCGGGACTTGAACCTGCGACCTTCCGGCTTGCAGCATAGTGCCTCAACAAACTACGCTACCGCGTGCCCTCTATTGGCTTAGGGTCATTCCATGTGAAATCATCCAGAAAGGTCGCTCACCATTTTTAAAAAAAATTATATTTTGTACACTTATTTATACATATTTTCATACTACAAAAAAAATTTTAAAAAAATTCTAATCCGCTCAGTTCTCTCGGTACAGGCGTTTTTAAATGCGAAAAAACGCGTTTTCGGCTGAAATGGAGGTTTGCGTTATCTTCCATATCTCGATAACTATTGAAGCTACAGACTCCAATAAAAACGCTATTTGTTCCTCATGATATGGACTACAAATCATATTATTACAAGTTTTTACTCAGCTCACTTTCTGTAGGTGTAATTAAACTTGAAACTTACCTATCGATTTTGGGAAAAACGCTATTTTTGACCTTCAAAAACCAATGGGAGGGGGAAAGTATCAGATCTGTGATTTCTACCATTTGTTGTTACCTATATGGGGAATATAATCACTTAGTTTTGAATCCCGTACCTAGTTTCCAAAATTTTCCAGGAGCTTCCAAACTTTGCTCTGGGCCCCAAATCGGCCATTTTTAACATCTCATATCTCCGGTGGGGAAGCTCAGAAAATTTTTAAATTCCTAGAAGATAATGCTCTATTCTAGAGTAACTTGGAGTTAAAATTAGAACTTTGATATTCAATTAATGGCGAAGTTCTTATAATGCGAATAAACGCGTTTTCGGCTGAAATGGAGGTTTGCGTTATCTTCCATATCTCGATAACTATTGAAGCTAGGGACTCCAATAAGAAATCAGTTTGTTCCCCATGATATGGACTATAAATCATATTATTACAAGGTTTTACTCAACTCGCTTCCTCTAGGTCTAATTAAGCTCGAAATTTACCTATCGATTTATAAGTATAAAGCGTTCTGATATAAAAGGAAAGAAGACACCAGTTATAGACAATACATAAATTTCACCCATAGACATAACTTTCTCCCTTGGACATTTTCGACCTTCCCTTTTATTAATAAGCAGCGGCACGTTACTCCGAAAAATCTCAAATGCAACCATCGATGAACCCTCATAGTAAACAATTCCTACACTGGCTACAATTTACAGAAAACATCTCCATTGATCTGATACACTCCCATGCATTAAATCACGGTTTCCGGGGTATACTCGTATATGTCATCAACAACGGAAATCTGTTTTCGGCAAAGGTTGAATCCGCAATGCAAAGAGAAGCACAGTTACCTTTCACTGTCGGCTGGCGCTCTTCTGTCCATTAGCTACCAACAACAGCGACTTATACATAAGGCAGAACAAACTAAACTGTAATCCTCAGGCATTAATATACGGGGTTAAGTCAAAGAGTAACTGCAAAATGTTTATATCTTTCTCTCCTTTTCTGTGGTTAGGCCAACTGCTGAATGCGCGAGCAAAGCAAGGAACCTCGCAACCTTCACCACTCAGTTCTTTCCTCCACTAGCAGTGTCAAAGTGGCTGATCAACTTACAACATTTACCGAAGAAGAGTAAAGTTCAGTGATTCGAGTTCTGTGGACTGAAGGTGTACAAGGTGTGAACATTCTATCAGCACAGTAAGGTGACAATGTTCTTTAATGCAACCCGAGGTCGACCAGAAGAGTTTTGTTGGGTTTCTGCATCTTAATTGGTCAACGGTTTAGAGATTGCAAATACCTAATACCTAATTTCAGAATAATTCCAATGTCTGCAGCAAACAAAATCAGAGAAAGTGACTATCTGACTTGGATTTGCTTTTTTGTAAAAAGAGAAAGAGGGGCAGTAAACACCGACCGCACCCATTGGACAGAAAATTATACGGACGCGACAAGGAAAAGAACCGCTGCTCCTGCCGAGACTCGAGCACCGGTCGCCCATCCTAAAGCTACTTATTTACAATGTCATCCCCTTCATTATGGTTACTTAAGTAACTAAGTACTGATAGTCGTGGTTGAATTACTACGTAGAACGATGACTTCATAATCAAATGGTTACGTGTTTGACTTTCAGACAGAGACCGGCTATCTTCTGTTCTCATAGTTCATCCACGCAACCGCTTCAGCACTGCCTTAATCATTCCAGCACCGAGGGCATAAGATTTCATAAATCCATACAAGTGCTGACGCAGATGACGTCAACATAATTGGGAGACAGTAACATTTATAGAGGAATGATTTACATACAAACGCAAGCAGACAGCAAGAGAAATAGGTCTTACGGTAAACTAAAATAAAACTAAATATATGGAAATAAGAAACAGACAAAGAAATACGCAATGCTTAATTGCGGATAACTATAACTTTGAAAAGATTACAGAATTAAGTACCACAGAACATTAATCACTACTAATTTAAGCTATAAGCTATCCCTGTAACAGGCTGTGGAGGCCCATAGGGTTGCGAAAGGTCGTAGCTCGCACATTTTCTGGACAATCGGCTCACAGACGTCGGCGAGTTTTTCAGCCTTACGTGCCGGCCGCCCTTTACCTCCAGGAAGATTCCTGGTACCCGTTTCTGTTAAAGGCTGAGTCGACCCCAGGGACATAGTGCGGTTAGAAAGAGTAGGTAAATTGAAAAAAATCCTATAACCTCATCGGGAATCGAACTCGCGACCTTCCGGCTCATAGTATAGTGCCTCAACCAACTACGCTACCGCGTGCCCCAAACCACTATTAGTAGTAATCTAAAAACAGAAATAAATAATAGGCTAGTAACACCCAATAAATATTATCCTGGCCTTAAGGAAGGAACACCTCAACACCGCACTAAATGTAAACTATACAAAACACTTCTGAGACCTGTTCTCATTATACGCAGATGAAAGCTGGGCTCTGACTAAATGTGATAAAACGAAACTAAACATATCTGACAGGAAAATACTAAGAAAAAAAGCCCCATTAATGAGAAAGGCACATACCGAATTGGATATGACGATGAGTTATACAAACTGATGAACCCGATATAATCACAGTGATGATGCCACGAAGAGTGAGATCCTCGTACACCTGTCTAGAACAAATGAATGAGATTCCTGCAAGAAACGAACCTTCACTAAGATGGGAGACACTAACAAAGTGGGAAACACCTCCCCCCTACACGGTAGCTTGATAAAGCTGAACAAGACGTAAGAGCTGTCCAAATTAGAAACTGGAAGAAACCTGTGGAGAGGCAGCGTTGAGACAGTAGGGGCCTGTAACAGGCTGTAGAACCATCCACAGCAACGTGGACAATAATTCCAAACCGCGTCCTTCAGCACTACTGGCTGCTAATTAAGCAAGGATCGAGGCATCTAATTTGCCTTTTGCGTGCCTAACACAGCAACTTTCGACATATTAGAGATCTAAAGGGAGGCCGTGGAAAATTCCCCCAGCCCTGGAACGGAGCCAGAGCCCTAACGACACATTGACCCACACGGCCTATAAATCAGTTTAATAAACTTACGGTGACATGAAATAGAATGCTTATAATTTTAGTCCTCTGATCGAAAATAACAACTGCTCAGATAACAAAATAACTGCGCTATATAACTTACGTAGTTCACGCAGCTTCGTGAAGTAAACCGTCCCATCATTAATGTGGGAGTCGCAGACATGCCACCATGGCTATCGAACAACTGCAGAGGGAGACGGACTGTCACGAGGCAACTGTCATTAAATCATCTAACGTATCTCTTCTTTTATGTAAAAGAAAATAAATATCAAATATTCATGCCGTTGCCATACTAACATTTTCAACACACAACAAAATGCTCATACACAATATGAATCAAAGTTTAAGGACTTCCATTCATTCAGTAATGGCTCTACAGCCCTTTGTTGGGCCCTGGCCTCTTCTTCAGTTTCGTAATCTTTTTATACAGACGGGTAGGACTCCTTAGACGAGTGATCAGCCCGTCGCTACCTACACACAGGACAACACAAACAGAGAATAAATACACACACACAGATATTGATGCCCTGAGTGGGATTCAAACCCACGATCACAGCATTCGAATGAACGAAGAGAGTTCATGCCTTAGACCGCGCGGCCACTGTGACTGCCTTACGGACTTCCACCAAACTGATTTCCACATGTCTAAACACAGTCAACATTAGTTAGCCTCATGAGATCATAGATACACAACACGGTCGTCATTTCCTCAATTCCTCTGCAGAAAAGAATTGCTTTAAACGTGTACTTGCATGTTCAGAACTCTTCAATCACGTAATTATTAGATCACCTCCACTTACACACCGATGATGCGTCTACCTAACCACTGCTACACGTAGCGTTCTCGGGATAAATGCAAACAAACAGTTTTGAAAAACTCCTTGATTTCAGTCCGCAAGCGAACCATACCGACCGAGCGAGCGTCTCTTGTCGGCGAAGTTTAGTGTCAACTTTTGCGGATAGAGGGTGTCGCGTGGTCAGGGAAACGAATTCCCACGGCCGTTAATTTCGCTTTTCTAGACCGGTAGCGCCGGGAATCGAACCCGGACCTCTGTATCTGTAGCCAGGAACGCTGACCACTAGACCACAGAATCGGTCTCGAAAATGTGTAAAATTTCAATTATATTGGAACAACAGCTACGTATCAAGATTTACGTATTGAAGAAACTGGAATAAGATTAATTCCGAGGATGTCTGATATCGTTCGCTTCAG